TTTTTTTTTTTTTTTTTTTTTTTTTTTTTTAAATAAAAGAAAAATTATGCAGGAATTATTGTTTTATATGTACTTACGAAAAAATACACATAATAACATTTTATATAACAGAAAAAAAAATTATAAAAAAAGTTTCTATATATAAATGTGCTTATTTCTATTTATTTTCAAAAATTTAGTTAATCCTTTTAAATAAAAAATGTATATAAATAGGAAATACATTTATATATATATATATAAAGAGTTTTAATATTTTTATTTAACTCTGATATTAATAATTAGATTTGTCATAATTAAAAAAAAAAAAAAAAAAAGCTACAGAATTAAGTTTAAAAATACAACACATATATCTATATAAAAAGATGCAAATAGAAATCGTATGTTCTAATTATGAATAACACATAATATTTGTACAAATTTTAAAAAAAAATTTCTGTTTTTTCTTATTTTATTTTTTTTTTTTTTTTGTACAATTAATGAAGAACAGGCTCAAATTAATTTACCATTAGAATATTCAAAAAGATCTTTATTACAAATTAAAATATTTTATTTATAAATTTAAATATATAGTTAATTTTTCATGTATATATATATATATATATATATATATACAAGTAAATTATATATATATAAATGGATATACATAAAAAATATGCACAATTTTATATATGATGAACGTTAATTTAGAAAAATATATATTAAAAAAAATTTAATATAGAAAAAAAAGTAAATTATAAAAAAGTAAACAAAAAAAAAAAAAAAAAAAAAAAAAAAAAAAAAAAAGAAAAACAAGAGAAAAAAATTGAAACAACTTTAATTTTACAATTAAAAAAAGAAAAAAAAAATGGAATTGTTAAAGCATGTTTTCGCTACATGTATTTTAAATTGAGATATTTTTGTTCTCTGCAAAATGTCAAAAAATGGAATTTAGGGAAATTTTATCTTTTTATTTTTTAAATTATAACAAAAAAAAAAAAAAAAAAAGTATTTATCATATTTAATTTTAAATATAATTTATGATATAAAAAAAAAATAGATGTTTATATATATTTTTATTAAGTTTATATGTGCTTTTTTTTATCATGTGTAAATATACATGCATATGTAAATTTGTATATATATTTTTTTTTTATCCTTAAGATTAATTTTTTATAATTATCATAAGAATGTCTGAATTTATATTTAAAAAGAATTGAAACTGAAATATATATTTTAAGCCTTTATTCATGAAATAAAAAAAAAAAAAAAAAGGAATAATAATAAATTAAAAGCTAAATTACGTTATAATTTATTTTACTAAAAAAGAATTATGCATTTTTAAACTGAATTGGAAATTTATGAGTAAAATGCTGTGTGTGCTTGGAAATTATTTTTTATTATTATAAAATTATATAACAATTTTTTTTAGTAAAATAGAAAAAATTTAATTTATAAAAAATATAACCAATTACAGTAATAACATAAAAAATAAAAAATGAATATTAATTAGATGTTATCTATAACAAGTATTTATTTTACAATCATATAAATTTTATTATATAAATATACATTTAGTATGATAAATTTTATTCCTTTTAATTAATCACATTTCAATTATATGTTGTATGTGTATATACGGAAATTTAAGATCTTGAAATGTTGAAGAAAAGAAATAGAAAAAAAATTTTAATGTATACTTATAAATTTATACATATATTAATTTTCCAAAAAAAATATTAAGTGTATAAATACTTTTAAGCAAAGAGTTTTCTAACTTTTTTAAATAGAATTAAGTTAGAATATGTTGATATATTTAAATACAAACTAAAAAAAAAAAAAAAAAAAAAAAAATAAATTAAAAAAAAAAAAATAATT